ACCTCTGCGTTAGAGATGTGGAAAGCCTTGAAAAGAACCCGAAGAGAAACAATATAGCACCAAACCACAGTCAGTCTTGTGAAGTAATGAACAAAACAGATCTTAAAGAAAGGATATCACTTTCAGAAAAGTTTCCACCGATCAAAATAATGGGCAAAAAAAAAAAAAAAACAGAGGAAACCACAAATAAAAGAAATAAAGATCCACAAAAAAGCATGTCAGGAGCCTTACCAGCAAAATGAATAGTAGGGATTTTGCTTAGTAGAACCGTCCCTGACGGGTGATAATATGTCACAGAGACCAGCCGGGTAGTGGGCTTCCGAGGCCAGTGGAATTCCTAGCCAGCTGTCTCATCAGCATATATTCTCAAAGTAGAGACTAGCACTAGAAGAAATCGTTCAATAATAAATGTAGACAATACTTCTGCTTATAGAGGTGGTATTTATTTGTAATGCATTGCTGAACAGTTTCTTTGAAAGGCCCGGAGAGGCTATTCTCCCTTACTCAAAGTCAGGCCTTTTCTTGGACTTCAGGAAAATGCAAGAGATCGAAGGAGTAGGCAGAGTGAAGGAAGTAAATTGAATTCTGGGTTAGAAAGTGAATACCTAATACTTAAAGAAACTTTTCAGGTACTAGCCATGAATCTGTCCAAAGGAAAGATCCTGCCTTAGTTGAAAAGAGCATGACATTATTATTGGAATTCTTCTAATTAGACTTCTTCATTGCTGCAATACCTACTACTAAGGCCATGTGTCTTATGTCAGCGCCGAAGCAGCTCAGTTCATCGGGAAGCCTGCCCTTTAGCGGCTTTTGATAATTACACAGTTCGTTCTGTGGAGACAGGTCTGAACTAAGCCGAGCACCACAGCTGAGACGGTAGGAAGCCTCAAACTCTCGACCTTGGGCTATATCTCAGGCTCCTGCATCTCCCGGAACCCGCACCACTTCCAAGAAGAGCAATTAAGGAACACCATGGGACTACGTAGTCACATCTAGCACTCTTCTTGGTTTAAACTCTAACTTTTGTATAGTATAAAATTAAGGGCACTTTTTTTGTCCCATCTCTTCAGTATTCCTCTCTGCAGAATTCTTGATACTTTTAGAAGTCACTTTTCTGAGCTCACCTTATAGCCACCTCTTCGTATTCCTTATGTACTATGGTCAGCAAGCAACAGGTAACGGGACTACACCAGAAACACGTGTGGCTTTGTGCATTCAGCTCTCCAGAGAGAAAGGGAATGTGCAATTTCAGTAGCAGCTGACTCCATTCGACGTTCCTCTTGGGGTGGGACGGGAGATGCGTCGTTCCTCCCTTCTGTCTCATTTCTCACGAGCCTCCCCCTGTGCTGTGTGTTCTTCTCACGCAGAGAGCCATGTCAGATGACAGGCCAGCCACTTTATTTGGTGCACAGCTAAAGAAATGGTGGTTCGTTCTGATGCTGAAAAAAATGTGTATATTGGATTTATTGAGAGGTAGTTTATCAATCTCAAATGAGACCTCTCTTCTTCAGGGAGTTGAAGAGTAATTTTGGCCATGAGATTGCTGCCTGGTAGATTGCCACTTAACTACCTTTTGATTTTAATAGCAAATTGCTGTTAACTTCTACGTTCTGAATATGTCATGGTCCTTCTGTAGTTTAGCGCTCATATTCCACATTGAATCAGAGTCACCGAGTCACCCGACTTAATAGGCTTATAGCGAATGCAAAGATGGTTAGTATTTCTAAGTAAAAATACCAAATACTAATAAAAGTTAATGTTTATTTAGCCATTAATATAATCCCAGACACTGCACTAAGATTCACCATCTTATTTAATCCTCAACAACCCTATGAGGTGTCTTGACGTTAAAGCACAGTGACTGAGTTAGACAAGCAAGGGAACACATACATACCTTCCTGTGTAACTATTTCCTAAAACACAGGCGCTCCCAGGAAACCAGCAAAGAATTATTGCAGAAGCAGACCAGCAAGTGCAAATTAACATACAGGCCCTAAACAAGCTGTGGTTCAAAAGTTCTCATTCAGGAGTGGGTTGTCCAGAAGCTGCAATGTATTTTCCCAGGGAAATGATGTTATCACAACACAAGCATATTTACCCCCTGGTGTATCCGAAGTAGTAAAAACACAGACCCAAACCATTTTGTATACCAGTGTTTTCATGGAAAAATTCACTCTGAATTTCCTCCTGAACGGCTGCTGGACACATTTCTCCACCACCAGGGAAATGGGGAGCCTATGCTAGAAACAGAATCGTTAGAAATGTTCAGTCGGAATCAGAGGTGGCTCCCAAGGCCTGTGATGGGAATGGATGGAGAGAGGAGGATGGAAGAGTGACTGGCACTGGGGACAAGGGACGGACATAGAGGGGCAGGTGATGTTGGGAGAGGAACAGGAGGCAGCCCATGGGGGTGAAGGGTGGGGTACGAATTCCAGAGAGGAGAGGAGAAAGAGTTTGAGGATCCTGAACTCACTCGTTGTAAACACCTAGGGCCTCTGCTCATCCCTCAGGTAGCTCCCTGTTCAGTGCTTTTGTTTCTTCTACAGACTCCAGTGTTTTGCCTGCCTGCTCCCCTTTTACTGTTTAACATGCAGAGCTTCCTCTGTGATCCTGAGACCAGCGCCATGGCTTTTCTAGACTCCGCTGCCCCTAATGCGGGCAAGTGGCCCTGAGGTTTTTGGTTTTGTTTGTTATTTTGAGTGGGTTTTAACTTCTATAGAGGAAAGAGCCCATCCAGAACGTTTCCTTTTTCGCTTGGACCTGGAAGAGCCAATATTAGCTACAGATGCTTTGGGTAGGTCTTTGGGTCCATAAAGGGCTGAAATAAAATGCATAAGCATTCAGATGTAGCTCTCCAAGGCTGAGGCTTATGGGAAAAGGGAGAAGCCCTCTGTTCCTTTCTCCGTTTTGTCTCTCCGGTTCCTTTGTCCTCCAAATGAGAGTGGAAAGCAGTGGGTAAGGCCCAGACCGCAGCTTGCTGGAGGGGAAGGGTACAAGACAGTGTAATCCTCGCATCACTGCTGAGGTGTGTTCTCAAGGGGCATGTCTCTGTTGGGGGTGTAAGGACCACCTGAGCACCTAAGCATCTGCCAGGGTCTCTAAGTGCTCCCCCACCTTTCCCTTACCCACGAGTCACATTTTCCTCACTTCTCTGGTGATAGAAATCACTTAGACACCCGGGGAGCTATAAAAAGCCTCAGTTCTCAGGCTTTATCCCCAGGCCCACTTAGTCAGAATCTCCAAGGGAAGGGCCTGGAAAGCTGTATGATCAATAAGTGATCCCAGGTGGTTCCTGTCAAGGATGTTTGGCAGACACTGCTTGCGTACCCCTCTAGCTTGCTGGTCTTTAAAGGCTCCTAGGACATTCCAAACCCCTTTCTGTGTCAGATTCATTACATGTATATGCTGTTTCTTCTCCATGGAAAGCTCTTACCTGTTCCCTACTCTTGGCCAATCCCTACTTCTCGTAACTTCGTGACTCGGGCTGAAATACAGTTTTTTTGGAAAGACCATCCTTGACCACTCTCATCGCCATCTCAGTCAGGTTCCCTTGTTTCACCTTGTGCTTTTGCTCCTGAGCATTTATCACATAGTTTGTACCTCATGTATTTGCCTAGTCTCTACCTCCTCACTAGTACCAAGCACAGGTGGTACTTAAGAAGTATTTTTTGTGTGGATGAATAAATGGAAAAATAGTGCTAGGAGAAGGGTTTCACAGGTTGGATTGGATGCTGCTCAACAAATAAAGAACTGAGCGTATGAAAATTTTAATCTTCCAAGGTAAAATTTTCACACATCAACTAAAGTCAAGGTAGATGGGTCCACAAGTGATTTGTATTTATGGGACAATGGATCAGATTATTTTTAAAATAATAAATGCCCAATGTGCGTAAAATGTGATATTAGGAGCTATGGATACAACAGTGAATAAGGCTGATACAGTCTCTGTCTTTATGGAGCTTTTTAGCAAGGATAACATATTGAGCAACCAGTTGCACAGTCTCATAATTATAATTTTGGTAAATGCAATGAAAGAGTTACAAATCTGTAAGAGCCTGTCATAGGGAGACCCGGCATGGTCTGTAAGCTAATCATAGAATTTCTAAGACATGTGGCTGGGGAATCTGGGCCCAAAGCATACAGTATACTCTGTCCTGTCTCTTGTCCGAGTTGGCATGAGGGGAGGTGCCTCTCTATAATGGTTTCTCAACCTCAGCACTGTTGATGTCTTGGGCTAGAAGATTGTTTGCGGGGAACTTCCAGGGTACCATAGGAGATATTTAGCACCATTCCTGGCTCATCCCACCAGATGCCAGTAGACCCCACAGTTGTGACTACCACAAATGTGTCAATGTTGCCAAATGTCCCTTGTGGAAGGATCGGGGCAAAATCTGTCCGTCCTTTGTACCTCAGTTGAGAATCACCGGTCCACATGAAACTTGGTTTTTTTAAAAATGCCTTTACTCCTGATTTATCCAAGTCAATACTGGGAACATCATTTATTCATTTGATAAACAAATGTTTGTTGAGTGCTTTTGAGGTGCCAGGCACTGTTCTAGGCACTGGAGACACAGCAGGGGTCATAGCCTGTGCTTGCTTCCTTTTTTTTTAAGATTTTATTTATTTGAGAGAGGTTGTGAGCGAGAGAGAGCACGAGAAGGGGGAGGGTCAGAGGGAGAAGCAGACTCCCTGCTGAGCAGGGAGCCGACGTGGGACTCGATCCCGGGACTCCAGGATCATGACCTGAGCCGAAGGCAGTCGCTTAACCAACTGAGCCACCCAGGCGCCCCAAACACAGTGTGTGCTTTCTTGAAACTACATTCCAGTGGAGAGAGATAGGCAAGATATTTTCATATTTCAGAAGAAGGGATAGGTTGGTCATAGCAGTCCTTTCTGATAAGATGACATTTGCACCAAGAGCAAGAGGCAGAGCCATTGGAGGGCGTGTGTTTGATCTCAGCCTTCCGTCTGCTGATCTAACCAAGCTGCTTGTGTTTCAGAGGCTCCTCCACAGAAGGGCAGCTGAACGGACCCCAGAGCAGCTTTAACGCTGCAGCCTTTGTGCCCATCACCAGCTCCGCAGGTTAGTGGGCACACCAGCTCCTTCCACGGCCGGGATGACAGGGCGGGGTGCTGCGCTGGGCATATTCTCACTTCTGCCTCTGGAGAAACATGCAGTTCAAAGAACGAAGAAGCGTCCGGGCTTTTGAAGCATTGGCAGATGGGCACTTGAGGATGGAATGGTTTTCCGGAACTAGTTCAGGGTAGATGACGTTTCTCGGTCTGGGAGAGTGTAATCAGATTTGCAGCATTTAGTAAAAAGGCCCGTATCTGACTGGTGTTCCACTGTTGATATAGGATCCCCACATGTAGTACCTCCCACTAGCTCCTCAGCACGATGGAGCTCTGGTCTTTGATCGGGGTCCTGTCATGCTAATGTAATGGCCTGTTGGTCTGTTGCCAGGTGCTTACTGAGGTCCTAAAGCCTCTTAGTGTAGGTGCCCACGTATAAGTCAGACAGCATTGGTCCAGGGGCAGTTTTCTGTGAGGACCAATTCGTAAAAACATGCTAATAAGTAATCAGAAAATTAAAATCAGGTGGATTCCATTCAACAGATATTTCTTATTGAGCATCTCCCATGGAGAACGTGAGATGCTGGGCACCAAGGGGCATCGAGGGTGCACCAGGCAGACCCTGCAGTCAGGGACCTCAGAGACTCAGGAGGAGAAGAGAGTCAGCAGGCAGTGGCTCCAGGCTGGGTAAATCTCAGGTACTGGGGATGCATAGAATAACCGTACACAGCACTGGCTGAACATCTGGTGTGTCCGGCACAGTTTTGAATGCTTTACATGTGATAACTCATTTGTTCACGAAACAGGCATAGAACAGGAACTGTGTTCCCCATTTCACAGCTGAAGAAATAAAGGCATAGATTATGAAACATAACCAAAATCTCATAGCTAGTAAATGGCGGGGCCGTACTGGAACCCCAGCGACTTGGCCTGGGCTCTTTAGGGATTAGAGAGGGCTTCCTAGGGGAAGAAACATCTAAGCAGAGGGTTGCACGTTGACAGGTCCCTCAGGAGAGGGGAGGCATGGAGCCAAAGGAGCTCCGGGAAGAGGGAACAAGGCCGCACAAACGGGGGTGGGCGGTAGTGGGGTGCAGATGCGCTGTGTTCTGGGAGCCCTCCTGTGTTGCCGTGGCTGGGGACTAGAGCGTGGACAGGGAGCAGCAGCAGAAGAGGTCATGGAGGTAACACGGCCGGTTCGTGAGCCATGGAGGGAACTTAGTCCTGACTGCAAGACCCAGCCATCGAGGCGTCGAGGGCCAGGGTGTGGAGGTGTGTGTGTGTGTGTGTGTGTGTGTGTGTGTGTAGCCTGGTGTGT